CCACACCCACCCACACCCACACCCACACCCACACCCCACCCCACCCCACACCTAATAAATAATACAGTGAATTACGATAACGACGATAAAAACATTAGCCTATCATACATGTATAATCAAAATAAATTTGTGTTTTACTTTTTCTTTCTTTTTCTCTTCATAATAAGCTAAAATAGAAATAGGATATTGAATCTCACAAATGATTGAAATCAACTTGTAAATATATTTATAGAAAATATAATAGAATAAATTTTAAATGGTAACATGTAGGAAAAAATTTAAATTCAAACACCTATATATATGATATAAGCAATTACATAATATGGTGGACGATTTTCTTGAGGTTTGTTTCCACCAACGTTACTCGTTCCTCCAGATATAATATGATTGTGATTGCTTGTTGCCTCTGTCGTTCTTGCTATTTGGCATGCTTTATTGTGCGGTGTACCCGATTTAATTCCTCTATACGTTGGAATAGGTACATCACATCCATCTGCATAAGTTATATCATTATAATTATGAGAATGCGCACCTGAAGCCGATGTTTGCGCTTGGAAGGTATGCAAATGACTTGGCATTTCGTCTACAGTTAGTACAACTTCCTCTAAGCCACCTTTCATACCGATATTTGAATAAGAAGAACCACTACTTAAAACATCTCGTCCAACTAGAAATCGACCGCGTAAATCTGGAGTGCCATTTCTTCCATCACAAATGTACCAACCAGAATATTCACCCAAACCTTTACCATTTATATTAAACCAGTTATCGATTTCTGTAGAAGCAATCATAAGAACAGTTCCACGAGGAAGTCTGGTATTAGATGTTGAAGAGATAATACTTCTACTTTCATTCCTTAGATAATCTTCAACATTATCGGCAGTAACCAGTAACGAAAATGTTGAAATCGTAAATAGAATTAATAAAAACTTTTTCATTGCTATAAATTTATCTAAAATGAGTCCAATTTTGCTATTTTTATGTTTAAAAAGTTCCTCATTTAAATAGTCATGTAAAAGAAATGGAGTCAGCAAAAACAAAATTTATTTATCAAATAAATGAAAGAAGGATTATAAAAAAGAAGATAAGAAAAAAAAATGAAAGTCGGATTATTTTTCTACTTGACAGTTTCAGGTAGATTAAGCTATCTCATGATAATTTAATCTGGGTAGAGAAGTTAAGATAACATAAGTAGATATGTCAGCTCTTAAGAGTCACTGCACAAGAGAGACGACCGAATGCCAATATAGCTGCTCAATCGATAGTCTCAGATTTTGATGAAAGTTATCCCATTTTTTAGAGAATTTTTGTTTTAGGTATAGAACCAAAGGACGGGGGACGTTTTAGATGCATTTTGGCCCACCAAGAAGATGAAAGCAGAATTGCCTGAAACTTTCCCCAAATACTCAGCTATATGCTAGTAGTCATCACACAAAATTTCAACTTGGTCCGTCGAACTTTTCCTTTACTTCCATACATCGAAATCCAACACCCTAAATACCCTATAGGGGTTACCTTGAGGACCTTCGTTCTCCACTATACGATTCAGAACCAAAGTGATTTTTTTAGGATCATTAGGAATCAGTAAGAGCTACAATATTGCAAGGCCATGAGATCCAGAAAAATCTGTCTTTGTATCGATTTGCAGTACATAGTGCCAAAAATCCAGGAAAAAGGCCTGTAGAGGTAACCTTGCTGACCCTCGTTCTCTACTATACGATTCAGAACCGGAGTGATTTTTTTTAGGGTCACTAGAAATGAGTGAGGGCTACAATATTGCAAGGACATGAGGTCCACAAAAAACCTGTCTTTGTATCGATTTCAAGTACACAGGGTGGGGTGGGTATGGGTGTGGGAGGGTGTGGGTGTTGGTGTGGGTGTGTGGGTGTGGGTGTGGGTGTGGGTGTGGGTGTGGGTGTGTGGGTGTGGGTGGATGTGGATGTGGATGTGGGTGTGGCGAGGTTGTCGTTGTAAACAAATGTAACTTCTCTACACAAATACCCACGCACACCCGCACCCACACCCACACCCGTACCCACACCCACACCCACACCCACATCCACACCCACACTCACACCCACCCATACCCACACCCACACCGCACACCCCACACCCACACCCTCACATTGACTTCGACCATCGAAAAAAGTTAATTAAATCAAACGTTTTTTTGGAATATTTCTCCTTTTTCAATTTAAAAGCATCAATTTTTAAAAATATGTAGCGTATGCATGTAGCTTATTCAACCAAATATCAAGATAATTTATAAATAATTAAGATTTTCGATTTCAAAGTCAATTCTATAAGACGAGTATTTCTTTTCAGAAAATCATTCATCAGAAAACTCAGAGTTAATGACTAAAAAATAAAATCTATTCTAGTAGTTACATGAATTCAAGCCTTTTCATTTTTTTGTCATCAAAGAATCGCTTTCATATTATTAATAGTCGTAGATTGTGAATTGTCACATAGTGATAGATTATAGATAATAATGCTTTGTAATTTCAATAATCATCTTCATTTTTTATTATAGACATTAAAAGAGTTGCACTTATATAGTAATCGAATTGGTGATCAAGGAGCACAACATTTGGATGATGTGTTAAAAGTTAATAAAGTAAGATACTTTTCCCGTAGATTGTTCTATTCAAGAATTTTACTTAGTCAGAAAAATTCTTGATAAACATCATTTAACTCTCGGTTTAGCTTATTTAAAATCAAGATAAGCAAAGTCAGAATATCAAAACAACTAATTTCCATCTAATTTAAGCGTATTTTATGATAATAGTTCAAAATTTGAATAAAATTGAATAATTATATTGAAGAAATTAGAAAACTTTTTTTTTTCTAAGACTTTCGAGTCGTATCAAATACGAATATTGTGTGAAATTGAGAAAAAGAAACACTTGTTTTTTTTTCGAATAATTAATATAATTGGTGTCTGAATATGAAATTAAAAAAATACTTTTCAATATCTTTAATTAAGAAATGAGAAATTTTTCAAATATGAAACAACTTCAAATTAAAATAATTTTCGTTCAGTCTAATCCACAAGAGTTAAAATAGTTCATAATGAAATTAAAAAATTTTATTTTCTATTGAGTCAAGATGAATAAGAAAAGAGTATTTTGAAAAAAGAAATTCATTATTCATTCTCATATACAGAAATTTAGATAGAAGTAACAATTTTCACTTGAAATTAAGAATGAAATTTTGTTTTTAGAAAATTTTAAAATAAACTTTATTCAAAATTCTTCTATCAAGACTTTATAAGCAGAAATGTTTTCAATAAGAAAATTTATTTTTGATGTTCATTTTATGGAATTTTGATGGTGTTTTAAATGTTTATTTTTGATTCAAAAAGAATTCATAAATTATCAAGTTCAATGAGTGAAATCAATTTTGGTTCTAAATTAATCTGATGGAAGATTTCAACCTATCGAGTTTTTCTAGCTTCTAATCTCAAAATCTTAGCAAATCCTCGGTTTTTTTAAAATTAAGATGAAAATTTAAATAAGAAGGGTGCAAATTCAAATATTAAGAATTAATAAATTTTTCAAATTTAATTTTTGAATATTTCTTAAAAGAAATTATTCTTATAAAAATGAAAATTTATTCTTATAAAAATGAAAATATTTTATTTTTCAAGATGACACTCACAGAATCATTCTTTCATGTTAGTTGTGTTGATATAAATAAAGTTTATTATATTAATATTTTCTCATATATCAAAATATTTCTTATTTTCTATTTATTAAGAATGACTTATATATCTTTATTTTGACAGATTTATTTCATTGAAATAAACTATTGAATTTGGTTAGGTGAAGAGATGTTATACAAGATATTTAAATAGAGAAAAACTTATGAAGTTCGAATCAAATTTAAAATCTTATTCTTATCGATCCATTTTATTTACTTCAATTTTTATATTTATCAAATACTCTTCTGAGAAAATAAATAGAATAATTAATGATATTAATTAAAGAAGAAATTTAAAGATGTATTTTTCATATTTCATAAAAAATTTTTCTTTAAATTGTTTCTACGAAAACTCCATAATAAATGATCATGAAAACTTTTTATGTATTTTTAATATTTTACCATCATATTATTGACATATCACTAAAAAATTGTTAAACTAGAAAGTTCAAATTAAGTTTCATTCAAGTTGAAAATAATTTAGATTAGAATTTTGATTTTATCGATTTCGAAAAATAAAATTTCTTAAAAGTCAATGTTAACAAACTAACTCATAAGATAGAGAATTTTCTTAATTTTAAATAAAATTTTTTATTAATCCAACAACAATTTTTGAATATTTTCAATTTCTAACTTTCTAATTCATTAGAGAATAATGTTATGAGTTTCTATTAGGCATTTTAGCATACAATGTTGATCGTCTGAAATTTCTTTAAGATTCATCAACCCTTTTTTTTTTTATACAAATTCAAACTATTTTTCTCTTGTCACTTAAGAATCTTAAAAATCAGATGAAATAAAAATACAGATATTTAGATGTCAACAATTTTTACGTACATTCGAAGTATTAATATAAATATACATGAGTCGTTGACAATTCTCTGAATGTAACCATAATGTAAACCTCTGTTGTATTTTAAATCTTGTTTTCATATCAACAATTTATTACAAGCGTTTTATAGGAAATTCTTCTTCTAAATACTTATGTCAAATATTCTTTAAATCAAAGAGTTTCTTATAAATGGATATTTTTCTGCATCAATGTTCATAATTTACTTTAATTTTTAATGTAGGCACTCACGCATCTGAATCTTAACAAATATCAAATCAGAGATATTGAAGCACAACATATTGCAGATGGGCTCAAAGTGAACAAAGTAATTAATATTTCTAATTGATTTTCTAAGTAAAGATTCTTTTAACTTCTGACCATTTTTCTTACTTTTGATAAAGAGAAATAATATGAATATTCTTAATATTTACAAAAAAAAATTCAAAACTGAATATTTTATTTCAAAATTTATTGAAACCATTGAAAATATTGATATTAGTTAAAAAATAATGTGATTAACCATAGTATGGTGAAAATTTTCTATCATTAAAGAATAAATTTAGAAAACTCTGAATAAATTAATGTGTCCGATTTATCGACTTGTTAAAATCTCGTTACATCATAAAATGATGAATTAATGAAATGAAAAGAAATGAATGATGATGATGATGATAATGAAACGAGAACATTTGTTCATTTAATTAAAAACAAAATAGTTAACATGACTTTAAATTTATTTTATTGTTTAGAAATAAGAAAATGATTAATAAATTATTATTAACATTCAACTTCATTATTAAAAACAAAACTGCTTCGTCTTGAATTAAATTTTTATCATAAAATTTGAAACTTGTTCAATTTATTTGATACATGAATAAAGTTTTTCATCTCTTTAAAATTTCGAGACAATAAATTTCTTTTCTATTTAATTTTAATAATCTTTAGAATATTGTAAAACAAATTATTTGAAATATTAAATCCGTATGACACATCTAAACTCATCAAAAATTTCTGAGCATCATATATATTTAATGAGTAAAAAATATTTATTTGAAAATTATTCACAAATCAATAACCTTATCGATAATAAATATTTAACAACATATTAAATGACATTTATCATATTGTTAAAAATGTAAGCCAACATTAAAATGAAAATCCAATAATCTTTTCTTTTAACTTTTTAAACATAGACACTAATCCTTATTAAATTGGATGAAAATCGAATTGATGATCAAGGAGCACAACGATTGACGGATGCATTGAAAGTTAATCAAGTGAGTTCGTTTTTCAATTGAATATTTTACCCCAAAAATATGAAATTAATTCGAAAAAAGCTGTTGAATATCAAAAGTTAAATTCAAGCTTAATGTCTAAGAAAACAAGAAAGATCAAAGTATTCTT